TATATATATATATATATATATATATAGAGAGAGAGAGAGAGAGAGAGAGACTGCCCAAGAACAAAGATGATTTTCAGACTGTTGGCCTACAGAACAGTAAGAAAATAAATTTCTGTTCCTTAAAGCCACATACTTGTGGTATTTGTATAACAGCATCAGTAGGTAACTAACACAGGCAGTACCTCTAGAGACCTTGACGCACAGGCTGTGGGCTGTGGCCACAAAGGTTTGCCAGCTTTGATGGCATTTATAAATGGGTCTAAGTCTTTGCCTATAACAAGCTTCCTCCCACTCCAGAGCACTACACCCATACTGTCTGTCAGCTTGTGTGGTTTCCCACATGTCACACCATGCAGGCACCCTCCCTGAGCTAAGCTATGCATCCTTGCCAGCCCTTCTTCCGCCCTCGCTGTCTCTGGCTGCCACAGTTCAATATAGAAAGTAACAGGCGCTCTCGCCCAACCCCTACTCCAAATTCATCCGGCCCAGACAGTGGACACACACACAGAGGGACCTCACTGAAAGCTAATCTACAATCAAGAGTTACAGGCATATCCTAAAGCTGATAGGCAAATATGTTAGCAAATTCACAAGTGGTGGGTTCTTCCGGCCAGGCTACCGAATGACCGAAGCTCCACAGTGTGTCTCCTGTCCAGAGCCTTACCTCCAAGGCAGACCCCTGAGCCTCTTTCCACATGGAAAAGGTCACAGGCAAGGTCGCAGCCGTGGGACTCAAGGACCAGCACTGGCCCTCATGTGTTTTACTTGGCACACACAGTGTTTATAAAAGCTATACACTGACTGCCAACTTCTCAGACCCAGTGGTGTTCCCTAAAACTCCAGATTTCTGGGATTTTCTCGCAACATTAGAAGCTCCAGCAACAGTGGGCAACGGTCCTGCTGAGTTCAGAACTGATCAGTGAGTCTTCTCTAGGTCACAAAAGTCCCCTTTGCCTCCTTCATCTCCCTACCATTGAGACTACATTCAAATTAAAGAGGAAAAAATGGAATAGTTCTGGAACCTTTATCAGAAGGGAGGAAATGACATACTGCCCAAGAGACCCACACTCATCAAGAAAAATTAGAGTAACAAATTTTTGTCATGGAAGTAATAAGAGTGTAATTAACCTGGAGATGGCTTCAATCTTTTCCATCACCTGCCCTGTCTATTGCAGACCTTTGAGTTTATAATCCTTGGTCTAATAAAAGACCTAACTCCGAAACATCAACAACTATTCAAAAAAAACCAAACAAACCTGAACTACTATGGAAATTGTTGTTGTTGAGTGCCATCAAGTCAACTATGACTCATAGCAACCCAATGAATAACAGATCTGAACCTGGCCTCATGATCTCCCCCATACTCGACCCCATTGTTAGAGCCACTGTATCAATCCATCTTGCTGGAGATCGTCTTCTCTTTTCCTAAGCCTGTACCTTTTCAGCTTGATGTCTTTTTCCAAAGATTGGCCCTTTCTGGCAACATGACCAAAGTACGTGAGCTGACGTTCCACCATCTAGTGGAAATTAGGACTATAAGAAAACCAGATTCCCCAACTCACCCAACTGAAACGAGATAGGAGACATATATCAGCAGGTGGGCAAGACCCATCAGGTCTCATCAGGCACTGTCACAGGCGGGCAACTCTGCCCGGGAATGTCCTGCTGGTATTTTGTGGAGCTGATGTAATGATTCAGATTACACTTTATCACTTCTCAACAGTAATCGCACGGATCTGCGCACAACACTGAAAGCACCACGTTGTGTTTAGCAAACACCAGATGTCTTCTTTTCTACATTCTCCTCCCATCACCTAATTTGCCAGAGCCATCTTTCACCTAGCCACTATTTTTTGTGTAGAATCAGAAAAGGGAGGGGGATGGCCCACAGGAGTGGCCAGTGCAATCCAAATACTTACATCACTGCTCTTGGGCTTCGCCAGCGCCAAGCTGTCCCGGGCTAAGGCCACGATTACGTTACTCTTCTCTCCGGCCCAGTGCACCACCATCTGGTTGTGGGAATCATTGAGGCTCACCTGAAAGAGATCAGGCCAGCACAGGTGTGAGGACCCATGAGCGAAGACCACAAGCCACCTAGATCAAGATGCTCTCTCCTCGGTCCCTCAGGAATACCTCTGTTTCCTATCTCCAATGAACTGGACTGGGATGGTCTATAGTCCATGGTCCCACCTCTACCCCAGTATAGCCCACGCTCAGCTTCCCCAAAGGAGACATTCATTCCCCTGGCTCCTCTGCATTGAACTGTACAGGTGATTCACTTTGCAGGCTCTCACTAGCTTCTGATTTTTTGCCTAGTGCAAAGTCTCAATCTTAAATTATGCTCATCTTTACCTGTGTGACATAAACACGTAAAAGTTTTAAACAGGGCAGGTTGGGGGCATTATTCACTGATGGTAGGAGTGTAAAATGGTGCAACCACTATGGAAGGCACTATGGGGCTTCCTCAGAAAGCTGGAAATAGAAATACCATTTGACCTAGTAATTCCACTACCGGGAGTATACCCTAAAGAAACTATAACTGCCACCCAAGCAGATATATGCACACCCATGTTTATTGCTGCTTTGTTCACAATAGCAAAGAGATGCAAATAATCCAAGTGCCCATCAACAAACGAATGGAAAGAGAAGCTCTGGCATATTCAGACAATGGAATACTATGCTGCATTGAAAAATAAGGAACTCAGGATATTTCTCATATGCTAGATAAAATTCTGGAGGTAAATTAGCAGTGTGGCTAATGTAGCCATTACTGTCAGTCACCTTTGGACATGGGATGGGGGGAATAAAAAAGAAGGAACTCATGAAATAGTATACACAATGGGTGACCCTGGAGGAGATTATGCTGAGTGAAATATCTCAGACACAAAAAAGACAAATACTATGTAATGTCACTATTATAAAACAAACTGACAGGGGGGTTGGAGGGAAACTAAGAAAAGAGGGGATAAGTAATGTACAAGACATTGAAACTGACAAAAGAGAGAACTATATAAAAGGATTATATGATTAGGTATTATGGGTGTGACAAGAGTCCAGAATAAGAGCTGCATAGTAAATTGGTTGGAGAGGGGGGACTGTATAACAATAAAAGAATTCTTTTTCTAAAGTAAAACCAAACTGGGGAGGAGGGGGGCAGGGAGGAAAATGTGCAATAATGAATTAATGGAAATCCAAGTTCTTTATAAACTTATAATAAAATCTTGATTAACATTTTTTTAAAAAAGGTTTTAGGCAAAAACATGGAACATGTGCCTTATGGGAGGATGGGAGGAGCACAGTCCAGAAAAGACCACACACTTTTCATACCTCCATTCAGATGGTGCTTTCTCAGCCCGAACCCTTGACCCACATGAGGAACAAAGGAAAGCAACATTAGGCAGGTTAATTTCTTTAAGTGTCTCAAAATAGAAACTATTTCTACGATCAAATAACTACTCCATTTAGATTACTGCTCATAGTTAATTTCTTAGATATTAAAATAAGGCCAACAAGCTTCTGTTGACACTTCTACTGGTTGACAGCTTCTATGTTGCCACTGATGGATATTAATAAGAACCACTGTGTCAGGACTTAACTAGCTTTTCTCCAAATGTGCTTCCTCTTCTTCCCAATGGCACAGCGACATTCCCTTCCCAGGCTGCCCTGCATAGAAAGTGGCCCTGGAAGTGGGTGCCAGCTAACAACAGGGGAAGGAAGGTTATCACTGCTACGACCAGTCTTGGCCTTATGCATAGTCTACACACCATCTGTATTCCTACCCTACCCACAGGCCCAGAGGAAGGCAGAGCTTAAGACTGAAGGCCTCGAGAGAGCTCTGGTGGCCTAGTGGCAAGAAGCTGTGCTGAAATTCTGAAGGCATGTGGTTTGAATCCATCAGATGCTCCACTGGAGAAGGAGGGGCAATCTCCTCCTGTGCCAGTCGGATCCGACTCGATGGTACACAACAACAACAACAATAAAAGAAGATTGGAGGCCTCCACTAATCACTACAATGCTCTTTTTGAACTTTTTGTGGTTGGGTTATACTCAGAGCTTCAGGAATTCATCTGTTATGTTGTTGTTAGGTACCATCGAGTCAACTACAACTCATAACAACATTCACAGTACTGAATATGCTATGGACTGACAAAAGAACAAGCACGTAAGTGTTGGGAAAAAGTGTGGCCACAGTGCTCCTTAGAGACAAGAGTGGTGAAGCTCTGTGTCTCATATGTTGCTAGGGGAAGCTATTCCTTAAAGAGGGTCATCATGCGTGGCAAGGTTGACAAAAGAAAGGAAAATCCTCAAGGAAACGGCACAGTGACAGCAACAATGGGTCCAGGTAGGTCAGAGATGATGAGGATGGCACAGGACAGGACAGGGTTCAGATCTACTGTTCACGGGGTTGCTATGAACAGTACTCAACTCAAGGACATATAACAACAGCAGAAGGTCATCATGCTGGGAAAGGTAGGCTGTCAGCAAAATAAAGGGGCTGACTCAATGGCAACAGGCACTAGTGGTGGTCTGATACAATGACCATGCTTTATTTTTTTAAACAAAAGGTACTTCAACACCTAAAACTGAGAAAAGGGATAATCCTAGATTAAAGAGCAGTTCTTTATCTTAAACCCATTTTGCTTTATGGAAAAACTAACCACAGTAACTTTATTTTTCCATGCTACCATTCGCTGGAGAACACCAGCTCACACTCAGCATTGTAGAAAATCAAGTCCATACAATTCATTCTCTCTAAGGAAAGCAAAGCGATGACCAAAATGTCAAAATATTTGAAAACCAATGTAATGTTCAGAATCAGGACAAATCCTCCCAAAGCCAAAGGCAAATGTTCTCTCTTGCAGGTCTGTGTCTAAGAGCAAAGGCTAACAGACCACCTCCTCAGCCTTGGCCATCGCAGGTACAAATGAAAGGAGATGAGGCTTCTGGGAGTCCCAGCAGCCTCTGCACGTTCCCGCCTGCAACTTCCCACCTTCCCCGCTTGGACTGATGCAAGTTCAAGTTCACAACCTGCCCTCTCAGTGCCCGCCCACCATGCAAAGACCTGGCAGAGCCAGGCCCTCCCTGCCCTCCCCACAGCAAGCTCTCTTCCTTTCTCTCTCTCTCACCCCACCACACCCTAACAAGTCTCCACCCACTCTGTGAGGTGCTCTCAGATGTCACCAGAGAGAAGGGAAACACCTGCGCCCAAAACTTGGCAGGGACTGACAAGGGGGCTAATCCTTAACGATTTTGCTTTGAGTCTCAAGCACCTGTGTCTAATTGGATCCAGGATCCAAAGTTTTTTGAGAAATGAAGTATTTGCAGTGAGACCTCTTTACAACCCTTGAGATTTTTCAGGAAAACAGGATGCTCCAACATGTCCCTTTCCAGTCCCAGGTAGATAAAAACAGGCAAGCATGGCCCCCAAAGTGAAAATAAATAGTTTAGCACAAAGAGCTACAGAGAGAAAAGTGCTAAAGGGATCTGTCAGCTAACAAAGCCTCAAGCCAGCCTTCCTGGACCCCTCTCGTCCAGCCCTAAGGATATCCGCAATCACAGGAGGATGGGAAGCCCACCAGCACTGATGATCTTGAAGTTCAGGCCAGAAGTCTTCTAACCTATGATAAAATTCTCACCCCTGGAGACTCAGGAAAAAAAATAAATAAATAAGATTGCCTGCAAGTTGATTCCATCTCATGGCAACCCCATGTATTAGAGGAGGACTGCTCCACAGGGCTTGCCTGGCTGGGATATTTACAAGAGCAGATTAGCAGGCCTTTCTTCCAAGGTATCACCAGATGGATGCAAACCATCCATCTTCAGGTCAGCAGTTCAACATCAATCATTCATGCCAGCCAGATCTTCCTTGGGGTCAGAGGGAAATAAATAGGGTACTAGGGAAACACCAGCACAAGAAACGGTCAGGAATGTAAAGGACTTGCCCCTCAATGTTCAGCTTGGATCTCCTCAAAGACAGACTGTCAAAATGGGTGACAGGCAGTGATCAGATAACACTTTGAACTGGCTACAAAGCTCTGCAATGATTAGAGTGTGAAAGAGGTCTGAAAACAATTCACTCATCTTTTCACTAAGAGAAAGTGAGATTTCCAGGCTCCTCAACCAATCCTAGGGGAGGTGAAGGGGTGCGAGGAACTAAAAGGCAAGCCTCAAAATACTCAGTGCTATTAAAAAAAAAAGGAGGAGGAAGGAGTCAAGAAGACCAGCTCGGTAAGCCACTTAAAAAAAAATGTAAAAGACTTTTTTTTTTATTAGCTGTCCTTTTTATTCCAAAGAGCAGACTATGAAAGGGCAGCCCAGTGTGGGGGGAGGTGAAAAATCCCTGGCAAAAAATGGCTTGTAAGACAGTCACCGGGCACCAGCACAAACGGCCTGGCTCCTGAGATTGACCAGATTTCATAGCTTCACATCCTGGTCACCTGGGTCCCGTGAGCCACCAGTGAGTCACAGATGATTCCCAAAGCAGCCAGGTGCCTGTCCTGGCAAATCACAACCACAGGTCAGCCACAGGAAACCGAGCGCCCGCTGGAAAGGAGCCAGCAAGCAGGCCAGCAGGCCATGCAACTTATTAATGCAAATAAATGCATTCCACTGCCACTGTCACCTCAGCCTCCAGCTCAACCACCCCCAGGAGAAAGAGAGGCAGAGCCTTCAAGGCAGGAGGCTGTAACTAGCTCTCCACCAAAGACAGTCAAGAAACCAGAGCCCCAGGGCAGCCCCACAATCAAGAACAGCCTACAAGTCCCCAAGGTTGGAGCCCCTGTTTTAATCAGTGGTTTCCTCCTGGTTTGTTTGTTTCCTCTACATCTCCAGAGATCTTCTACCTCCTCCCCCAGAGCATGTGCTGCCACCAGCCCTCTTGGGGCTGCTGAGGGCTTCCAACTCCCTCTTATCAGCTCTGCCTGCTCCACAAACCCAAAGACACTGGCCTGGGAAGCTGTGGGAGGGAGGCTTTTCCAGTAATATAACCTTGATGTGTAGTCGGTTAAAACCACGACCCCGGGGCGGGCACAGACTT